CTTTTTGTTTTTACTAGTGGCACTAAGGCGTCGCACTTAGTATTTTGTTTCTCTTGTGTGTACATGTTCTTCTGTGAAATAGTTGTTAAAAAAAATAGTTAATTATGTATGGGATTAGTAATTAGGTACTTAAGAAACAAAGAAAGATTGATATGAATTAGCCTTTCAAAAATTAGACAGATGCTTAACGACTTTTTAAATGATATACTTGGCAGAAAGTATGCAGCTTTTTCGCCAGGTGCCAAAAAATAGCGGTGCAAACCAATCGGAACCGGAAGTGTGTTCTACGTCATCACCGGATATGTACCTTTGATATCTCCGTTGGCAACAAAGCTTGGCGAGCATTTGGCGTTATTTTTTTTCCCGTAAATTTTTCCGCGAGGTCAAGAATTGGCGCTAATTTAGTTCACGTGTTAATTAGCGAGTGTGAGGTGTGTATTTTTGCGCGCCATTTTTCTCGCTTTCCTTCAGCTATTTATCTTCTTTTTTTCTATTAATATTTGTATTTTGTTATATTTGATTATTATTTATTTGATTTTATTTGTATGATTATTAATTATTATTATTGGATTTTTATTTCTTTCCTGGTGCAACGATAGAAAGGTTAAGACGTAAGATATCCTTTTTGGACAATCGATACCATTTGATTTTGGTACATGTTGGTACCAACAATTCGAATGACAGTGTTGAAGATATTCTTAAAAAGTACGATTGCCTCTTTAAGGATATTAAACGTTTGAACCCGAATATCAATGTTATCATTTCAGATATCCTACCACGTGGTGAAGATTTTTTCACAACTTTAAATCAGCGAGTAGCAGCTTTGAACCGTTTACAGGTAATTAATAGAAAGATTGTAGAAATTAATTCTCAACTTGAAAAGTACTGCCAAAATCGAGAAGCGTTTTTTATTTGCAGGTCGTCTCATCATTTTGGAGCTAAGTTATTGGCTAGGGATGGATTACATCTAAACCGTCTGGGGAACAAGAAACTTGCGGCAGTTTTCCTGGATAATATCAAGATTGTTTTGACTTCAAAGCCAGTTTCTACAAAGGTAAGTCCTTTTGTATTGCCTTGTGTTTCATTTACTACATTACATTGGATTTTCCACCTCTGAGTGATTCTTTTGTTTCTGCAAGCCCTTCTTATCCTCTCTATTCAACTGTTTTAAAGCATGGTTGTGCTGTAGATGCTACTAAGAAGGCTAATTCTGATTTGAGAAATGCTGCTAAAGTTGCTTCTGGCTCTCGGCTGAAGAGGGTTGCTATTTCTGGTGCTGGATCTCGTTTTAAATGTGTTGTCCATGGTGGTGACTCTCATTCAAAGAATGCTGTTAACCACACAGATGGTTTTAGTTTGCATCTGCAAAATGATACCACCCCTGGCTCACATCCGAAAAACGTTGCCAACCCAGATGCTAGCTCTCGGTCTCTTTGCATTGCTGGCCATGGTGGTGGATCTCGCCCAAGGAACGCTTCTGTCCATAGAACTGGTTCTGGTTTGCATGTAAGGAATGGGACTAAACCTAGATGTCATCCTAGAAATGTTGCCATATGTAGTGTTGGCTCTCATTTTAAGTATGTCAATGGTTTTAGTTCACGTCCAAGGAATGCTGCCGTCCCTCGTTCTGGTTCTGATTTGCGTCCAAGGAACGTTGCTACCCCTGGCCTAAGTCCTGAGAATGTTGTCATTCCCGGTGTTGGCTGTCATTCTAGACTTGTTGGTGTCCGTGGTACTGGCTGTCATCCGAAGAATGCTGCTTCTGGTTTGCATTCAAGGAATAACGTCACTCCCAGCCCCTGTCATAGAAATGATATCCTTGCTGATGTTGACTCCTCCAGGCGTGTTGCAGTCCATGGTTCTGGCCGTTTTCTGAGGAGCAGTGCTAGTTCCACTGTTAATTCTTCTACGAACACTACTGTCCCAATTGCTAGTTTTCAGAAGAAACCAATTCGTGCTTTTGGTGATGGTTTGTGTCCAAGGAGGGATTTGACTGTTAGTGGCAGTTTGCATCTGAAGAATGCTGCTTCAGCTGTTTTGCGCCTAAGAAGTGTAATGGCCTACATGGGATCATCACTAAAGAATGCAGTCACTGCTGCTGGTTGTAGTGTACAGCAGGCAAGTGCTGTTTCTTTCAGTGATTGTTATCCATTGTATTGTGCTTCTGTTAGTGGCAAAGGGAGTTTAAAAAATGATTCAACAAATTTTGATATTTCACAACCTAAATTGTGTACAACAAAAGATGATTTTTACTCTGACTTTGCCTCTAGTTATGTTTTGCAGCAAAAGAACATTTCTATGACCAGAAAAAGCACTTCTTGTAGTTCAGGCCTAAGTTTCTTTCACTTTAATAAATTTTTGTTACTAAAAGATCATGTAGAAAGCAGTGAAATTAATTGTCAAGTGAGGAAAAATAAGTCTATGTGTCCTATTCTGACTGGAGGGGGGGGGTCCGAAATTGACTGTAATGCACCATCGCTTTATCCTAGAAAATGTGATATTTGTAAAAAAAAACTATAAAACTAAAAATTCTTTTAATAATCATAAAAAAAATTGCAAAGAAAAACTTGAAACTGAAAATTTTAAACTTTCAATAACTTCTCCTCAGAGTAATATTCTTATAAACATTGATAATGTATTGAGTGCTAAAAAATTAGAAACCAAAGAATGTATTAGTGATAAAATAGAAATGGCTTATCTTCGTAAATGTGAAATATGCTTGAAAACTTATAAATCGAAGAATTCATTTTATAACCACAAAAAAAAAAAAAAAAAAAAAAAAAAATTCAAATAAACAAGTACCTGATTTAAAACAAAATTTTTCATCTGTTTACCCTCGGAAATGTCTAAATTGTAATAAATGTTATCCTTGCAAATTATCATTTTTTAAACATAAGAAATTTTGCACAGAAGTTAATAAATTGTATGTATGCTTCATACCTGATTGCCATAAGTCTTTTACATATGTTTTAAATTTTAATAAGCATTTAGCAGATGAACATAATTTAAATAACTTAAAAGAATATTCATTTGAAACAATGAGTTATTTTCAAGATTGGCTAGAACTGGAAGGAACCTCGACATTTACTTCATTCAGAAAGTTTTCTAAAGTAACGAAAAATTCTAAAACTTATCATTATTATTGTTGTCAGTTTACCACGCAAGGTTATTCTGATTTTGAAAAAAAAAAAACTAGTCGAAAAAATGAAAAAGGTACAGTTTCAAAAAGTGTATGTTGTCCGGTCAGAATATGGGCTTGTGAAGAAATGAATAAAATCTCTGTTTTTTACTTTCCTAAACATAATCATGAGCAAAAGTTTGAAAATTGTAAATATCAGCCATTGAAACAAAGTACGCGGTGTTTGATAAAAGCAAATTTACGTTTGTCTGTGCCTCCACAAAAAATAAGGGATATCTTACAAGATGGATCAGGAAATCGCGAGAATAGAAATAATTTCCCTGTAAAGGAAAGCTTTGTCTCCCGTAAAACTATTTCTGCTTATTCTAGATATTTAAACAATTCATTGCGTCCAAGTAGTGATGCAGTTTCTGTTAATTCAATCATTGAAACTTTAAAATGTGAAGCATACAATCCTGTGTTATTATATAAGCCTCAGAATAATTCAACTTTGTACGGTCCAACTGATCTAGATAATCTTCCAAATCATAAAGTATCGTTTGCTCTTGGTCTTCAGACGCGTGAACAGAAAGAAATGATGATAAAAGGTTGTACAGAGATTTTATGTATCGATTCTACACATAAGACTAACCAGTATGATTTTTACCTTCTTAATCTTATAGTACCTGATGAATTTGGTTGTGGCTATCCAGTTGCTCATTTTATTACTAATTTTCTAGATGCTGACACTCTTTATTGTTTATTTAATAGTTTAAAGTGTCGTGTACCAAATTTATATGTAAACTGTGTAATGACAGATGATGACAAAGTTACATATCCTGCATTTTCAAAGGTTTTTGGTCAAGATGTTAAGCATCTTTTATGTTCGTGGCACGTACGCCAAAGTTGGTTCCGGCAACTAAATTCTAAAGTGGTAGATAAGGAAGTGCGACAAAAAATGCTAGGAGAATTAACAAAAATATTACATGAAAGAAACCAGATCACTTTTCATGATCAAATAAGTAAGTTTTTGAATGACTATTCTAGGAAAAGTAGAGATTTTATTGAATATTTTTCTGAAAATTATAAAAATAGATTAGAGGAAATGGGCTTTGTGTTATCGGAACTTTCCACATGCATTTACTGATACTAACATGTACTGTGAATCTTTTCACAATCAGTTGAAAACTGTTTATTTTAAGCGGAGACATAATAGACGATTAGATATTTTAATTTCTACACTTCTGACAATTGAGAAAGATAAATATTTAAATCATACCTATAAATTATACACTAATGTATCTCCCAGAAATTCCATTTCTTGTTTAAGTAGGCATCAGAGAGGACTAAAAATTAGGGACAGTGATGTAAATAAATGCTCTGATACTTCTTGGACTGTTTGTTCTCAGACAAAAAATAAAATATATACTGTGCAGCGTCTTTTTGAAATTTGTCCGTGTCAGGATTTTTGCTTTTATAGATGCCCTAAAGTATCATGTGTCTCATTGTGTAGTCACTTGTATCACTGCAATTGCTTAGATAAATTGCTGTGCAAACATATACATAAAGTGCATTCATTCCTTAATAGACAAAATGATTGTGTGTTTAATCCCTCGGGGATTAATCTTGAATCGAATCAGAAATGCAATGAAAGTATGAAATCAATAAATGTGTATTCTGTTAATCATTACAATCCACAAAGTATTGAACAGAGAGTAAATGCATGTGAAAAGCTTGTAGAAGAATTACTGCAATTAATAAGACAACCAAAAGTCCAAAATGTCATGTTAAAGTGTGTTCATACAACATTAAATTCATTAGTTTCAGAATGTAGAGGAATTTTAAACTCGAATGAAAATTCAAGAGCAGTTTCAAGTGCATCATGTCCAGTTTGCACCAAATCAAAAACTTAACCCACAATTGTTTAAAACTTCTAAAAAAGAGAAAATTACAGAAATGTCAGCAGAATAAGAATCAAGATTTTAATGATAATGTAGATGACCCAGAAATAAATGAATGTGTGGAAAAGAAAATTAAATTTAAAGCCGTAGCATTTGATTTAAATGACAGTGATAAATATCTATGTGATTTAACCAGTGTTGATCAAAATAAATCATTTTCCCTTCCATTAAAGTCTAGCGAAGATATTTCTGAAAGAATTTTACAAATTGGCTGCTATAGTATCAATCGTATTGCTTTAAAGTCTTTAGATTCTTATATCAGTAAAAGTGAAGAATTTTTTATAAAATCGGTTTGTACAGATTTTGTTAGGGGGTGGTTATTTGATGTAATCATAAATGCATTTTTATACAAAATTTTAGAAAGTGATGATCAATATACTTTTGCTGATTCCTCGATTACCCAGCTTATCTTATCTGATGCATTATCACTTGGAAATGTTTTTCCTGTTTCTTTGAAATCTTTCAAATATTTATTGATTCCTGCTTGCATTGATTCTCATTGGGTTCTGATCATAGCAGATTTAAAGAAAAATACCTTTTATTTATATGACTCGTTAATAAATTCATGCAATCCAAAATACATAAACTTAACTAATAAATGGTCTAATGTAATTAACAGTGAGTTACAAATTAACGGTTCATGGGATATTCAGTGTCCACCGCATGCTTTACAAAATGATGAAAGCAGTTGTGGGGTCTTCATCTGTTATTATGCATTTCAACATGTAAATAAATTAGCCTTAAATCTTCCTTTAGATACCCTTCAATTTAGAAAATTTATTTATAATATTTTAACTGAGAATGTTCCACCTTGTACACAGGAAAAGATAAATTTATCTTCAGCAGAGCAAAACTTTTCAGTAAATGTTAGAATGAATAAAGATTTGACCAAATCATGTTTAAAAATACATGATATTGAAATTACACCCATATATGTTAAAATCTATAGATCCTTTTATAAGTAATGAAGAAGAACACTTGTTTAAATCTGTATCTTCATGTTTTCGAAAAGGATGGCTCTATAATACTATAATTGATGCTTTTTTATTTAAAATATTAAACAGTTATGAAGATTTTGCCTTTGTTAAGTCTAATTTACAAATTCCTAAACCAAATTTTTGTATTAAAGATCCATTACTAACAAGATTGAAATCAGCGAAATTATTTTTTATCCCTGCAAATTTAAATTGTCATTGGATATTAATAATAGTAAATATTCCAGATATGGTTTTTGAATTTTATGATCCACAAAATAAATCATGTGGGCAAGAGTATCAAATTTTAATTCATACATGGTGTGAGGTTTTAGCTAAAATATTTGCTACTAGCACTAAATGGAAAATAATTTGTCCTTCACATATTTTGCAAACTGATAATATGAGCTGTGGTGTTTTAGTATGCTACTATGCTTATCAGAGGATTAAAAATCAAAGTTTAAATACGCCAGTTAATATAACTGAATTCCGGAAATTGATATACAAGCATATAATTTTAAGTGATTGATATATTTAAAGAAATTTAAATTAAGAAATGTTTTTCAGGACAGCATTCCATTCCTTTGGTGATGCTTGAAAAATATAAAGTATAATGGACAAATATTTTGCAATTCATCTGTTGCCATACAGTTTCTATAAAAACACTTTTTTTTTTTTTTTTTAGTTTGCTTTATTTTGTAATGATGTTATATGGCCAATAAACAAATAAAAATGCTTATGTTTGTATGTAACTTGGTAGTATAAGAGAAAATTGTTAAAGTAGGCAACAATGAACCCTTTTGGCCAGGGTGATACCCCCAATTGTGGATAATAGAGAATAGTTCATTTTATGTTAACAATGCATTCTCGGGGACCTACATGCCAAAATTTTCTCTTATTTTTAAAGAGGAATCAGAGAATTTGTACTTAACACTTCATCCCATTGACTGTGAAGGATTTCCTCAGGAATGATTAGTGGTTCTGCACCAATTTTCATGGCCAATGGGATAGTATGCAAGTACTGCAAATTTTTCTGTTCATAAATAATCTCATATCTGATCTCAATCTGATCATTTTTAATATTTCAGGCTTATGTTTGCAAAATGAATAGTGCATTGTTTTCAGTGATCTTGGCTGTTTCACAATTGAATTTAGTCTTCTTTATTTTTCAGTAAACGATTGGCAGGAATCTGGTATGTATTTAAAAGTCAAGAGCAAGCTCTGCCAGGAGAATTTTCTGAAACTGAAACTCATAAATTTTTGAGTAATATGGTTGAATAATAATATTTATACTCTATTCAAGGAATTTTATCTGATATGTCTTTATTTTCAGAAATAAAAGATGAATACTTTGTAAAATAATTATTATGTATTCTGAATAAAGTCTGGGAAAAAATTATCCATTGTTGAATTATTTTTTACTGAAAATTACTCCACATATTAGGAATTAGTCATATCTATGAAGCATAATATAAGTAGTGTTTCTTACAAGACATTGACTAATACATTATCCCAATTTCTTCTTAAATAAAATATATTTTCATTCTTTATTTCATCATCATCCATGATATCAATTGATTTTCATTGATTAAGATTAAAAAACACTATAGTCACTTAAAAATGTGGACACTTTTTTTTTTTTTTTTTCCTGGTTAATAAGAGTACTTGCATATTTGTTAAGTTTCAGTACGTAAAGCTGTATACAAATTAAACTTTCACACATTCCAATATCAAAAGAGCTACCAATAATTAGATATTTTAATTTTTCAACATTCAAAAACAAAGAAATAGGAGTGAACTTGCTGCTAATCAAAAAGATGAATATACTGGTCTTATAATAATTATGAAAAATGAGTGCTAAAGTTACAGCCCATTTTTTAATTTTTAACTATTTATTGCAAAATAAGGAGGCTTAAAAGTTTGTGTGTCAGGCAAAGGGCTTGTGGTCTTTCACACAGAAGAGTGTAGCCAGACTTATATTAAAGCATTCAGGAAATTAAATAATTTTAATTCTAGAATAAGTCTTATCGTTACTTAATAGTTAGATAATGCCTATTATTATTTCCTGTCATTACAGAAGTACTTGCTGAAATTTCTTTGTTTCCCATTTGCATGGATGGTTTCAAAGAGTTGAATTTTCTGCAGAACTCTTAATATCCATAAATTGTTTGACACATTAAAAATAAGTGAATATTTGCTCTAAGCATATACATGTATTTCATTTAAATTTAATAATAATAGCATATACATAAAATCCAGATTTGATTTAAACATTCATAACTAAAGAACAAACACTGCTTTTACAAAGACCATGTTTTCTCCCATTTTGCATCAGTTACAGTTATTTTCATGCACATGAGTATATTTTGAAGTGTTAAATTAATTATCATTTCTATTCTTGGATGCTCTATGACTGAGAAAATAAAACTTAATGCTAATCTGATATCTAATTATTAATCTACTAAACCAAAATAATGAGGTTCTATAGTGCATGAATTGGGCAAAAGTGTGCAGTTAAATTCAAACTTGTAATATTCTGTAGCAACCATTTGAAGTCACATTTCCTAATGTTTTCATTAAACGGAAAACTTTACAATTCTAACACATTCATAAATCTCTTAAATTTGTATCATAATATATAGTAGGAATGGTTCTTGGAATTAAGTGTTAATTATTTCATCAATGTTGAACTGTGCTGTTTTTCTCTCACAGCATGAATAAATGTGACTGATTATAACAGCAACTAATATTGTGATATGCAGAATAGGGGTGTAAAAAGCCTACAACAAGCAATTTTAAATATTGGGTCTAGTTGAGCACTATTACAGATTGAAAACGTCAAAGTGTCAAAAGTATATGGAATAAAACCTGCATTTTTAGAAAATGAGAGGTTTCATAAATGAATACTGTAATGATATACGTAAGGAACCAAAAAATATTTTTTAGATACGAGATACTGTTCTGTATTGGTGTGTATGATTTATACTGAGAAACATGACACAAAAATTTAGATCATTTCAGATAGGATTTCACCAGAATATTTTGTGTTATGGTATATCATTTGTGTATGTGGAAGTGATCTGTTCAAGATATAACTGTATTTTCATGCCAAAGATTACACCTGCAAAACATGAAACATATCCTATGAACTTTGCAAGGTATGAGCGAAACAAAAATAAGAATTGGTTTTGTTGGTGCAAATTAAATGCATTATACAGTATCAAGTATATACCAAACATTTTCCAGATTTTCTAAACTGGTAAGTAAAGACAAGAATACGTCCAAGTACAGTTTTAAAATACTACTACATATAAATAAAATTGTTGTGAACTGTTGAAAAAAACTACAAAAAAAAAAATTTAGATTTTACTATGTTAAACCACGTTGTGTGTTTATGGAGTATAAAAATTAACCGTGGCTTCATCACAAACTTAATATATCTATAAAAAAGATTTTGTACTTTTTAAAAACGTTACCATAGGTTCAATGCCATATAAGGTATTTAAAGTAGTGTTGTATTATACATAACAGCCAAACAGATGTGATTAGGGAACCTAGAAACATTTGTATAGATATAATTATTATATTCTTGTCTGTATTCATAAAAATGCTACAGTTAAGAACATGACTGTTATCTTTAATAAAATTCTGAAATAATTTAAAAGTTTCATATGTGCAGAGGGATATTTCTAGATCCTCTATTCAGGCATAATAATAGTTGTGTTACCTTTTGGACGTGAGATCCGAAGGCAGGAGTGCAGAATGGATGCATTTTGTACCAAGAATGGTAGTTACTAAGCACTGGACGATCAGATTTCTAAAAAATTTTGAAATCAAAGAGAACTTTTTGTACCTTAGGTGCAGTGACTGCTAGAAGCAAACCACGTAGTCTGTGAATAGATGTTCCAAATCTTCAGTTAATGTGAGGCTGTTTCCATGAGAAAGGTAGCCCCTACATAATTTATAACATTCGATCCAAAAAAAGTTAAAGCTTGGTTGTCACTTGTTAACAAACAGATTCACTAGTACAGAGTAGTGCACTAAATTTAAATAGCATTTTTAATTAAAATTATATTGAAGAACATGGATGCCTGCCAATGTTGTTCATCGCCAGAGACCTACAAGTTAAAGATCCCTGATATGTGATATTGCAGTAAATTTAGATACTTTTTAAAATTAAATCCAAGAATACTTGTACCCATGAAGATCACTACTGGCCTATGAATTGGCAGCCAGTGGAGATGAACGCCTACCTAGTTTACCCCGCGAACGGGCTGGCTGCATGGGCGTTTTCGTGGTTTTCCCCATGTGTAACGTGTATACGAGCCAGTTTCCCTTAGAAAGTCCTCCACGAAGGCATCCCTCCCTTAGCCAGATAGCCCTCGAGGCTTTGCCATAATCACACACACTACCTAGTTTACCGGTGTAAGACAGTGAAAAAAGGACTGAACAGATTTTAAAACTAAACTAAAGAACAGCAGTGCCCATTAAAAAATATTGATGGTTATTGGCAGTCAGCCAAAAGGTTTCAGATACTGCAGATAATTTAATAACCTACATAACATAACACTCCAAAAATTTTGGAAAGAGTTAATGACTTAAAACAACAAAGTACCAGTTTTTATGAGAAACAACCAGTTCTTTGAGAAATTTTTGTTTAAAAATTGGAAGGTCTCTGCAAACAACAATGAAGAGATTTTAGAAAACTCTAATTCATACACTTTTTTCTTTGTCACAAAAATATTGACATCAAGTGATTCCTCTTAAAAAAAAGCAGAAAATATAGCTCTGAACAGAAGTACATTTTCAGTATTGATCTCCTTTTCTAGAAAACCATTGTGATTAGGAAAGGTATTATCATTTTCTTCTAAATAATGATCAAGGCTGCAGTATGCCATCCTCCCCCAGAAGTTTGCGTAGGTGATTCGTTAGTGCAAAATTCTGGCGATTTCGTTCGTTTTGTTTGATTGCAGCTAAACATTCAAGGGCTATCTGACTAAAGGGAGGGATGCCTTCTTGGAGGACTCTTTAAAGGAAACTGCCACGTATATACGTTACACATGGGGAAAATCAAGAAAACACCCATGCAGCCAGCCCATTCTCCGAGATTCGAACCACGGGCCGAACTATCAGTGTTCAGTGATTTTACCGCTCGGCTGCTGATGGGCAAATATAGTAAAAAGCATTTTTTAATATATAACGGAACATTATTGAAATTCTGACTTTTCCAAGTTTTGTTTTTTGGATTTCTCAATGCCAAACATTAAATGCCCTGCTACAACCTCTATTACAAAGAGTAAGAAGGGAAACTAATAAAAGACTTAGTCAACGAATGCTTCAGCATGGAATTGCTAATATTCTGAGACTAGGGTTTCCCTTATATGTCTTAACTAAAGTTCTCTTCATAGGGTTCTGTTATGATTTTAGATATGTATCTAGGAAGTCTGTCTGATGACGTAGGAATACAGATTTGTGGTTTCTGAACGCCTGGACAACAGATCAGTAACGGCCTTCACAGTATCATCTATTTTTACACACCTTACTTTTTCATTCGTAAGAAAAGCTAGAGAGGGAAACAAGTTTAAGTCTCTCACTCTTAAAGAAACCTTGGAACTCTAAATATGTCCAACATTCATATTCCTTTAAAAGACGCAAATATTGGGAATGGATCACTCTAGATTCTAAATGTATAAAATGATAGATGTAATGGCGTACATATAACCAGATCAGTGCTGTGAAGTAGCCTTTTAAGTTTGTAGATATGGGTTTGCTATCTATCATTATGGAGGCATACGCAGTGACATACTTAGTAGCTCTGTTTATATATTTAAGTTCTTATCCTTCCTTACTTCCTCAAAGAGTCATTAAAATCATCGGTTAGAACGAATGATGCAGATAAGTGCTATCTTAAGCGTTTTCGGTTGATATTATCTATGAGTCCATTAGAAGGCAGGTAAAATCGATACCAGATATATAATATCAGTCTGTACAGGTTGAAGACAGTAGTGAGCCAAACACATAGATGTTCCAGAAGGAAAGCATTTTTCGTCGGACATCGAAATGCACAATGTACTGGCAGTCAGCCTGTCCAGTTCTGCAAGAATTGATAGGTAGTGTATCTGTGGAGCCTGCCTTAGCAACCATACAGAATATAGTAAATTAAATAATTCGGGAATTTACAATGAATAAAATTCATTTATTTTTCAAATAATTCTTATACGTGAGTAGTACCGTCTTCGCGAGATGTCAGAAGACAGAGAGGGACGGTGAGGATGTCAAAAGGATTTGGAGTAGACATCTCATCTCGGAAACTGCACCACTATGAAAAGGAAAGCAAAGGCGATGAACATAGGTCAATGAGAAAAAGGGAGCAGGCAAAGAGGTAATTAGGATACGTGTAAAACGGTACAAAATTCCTAGACTGATCCGTTCTACCTTTTGAAAAGCGACTTGCTGTGTCACACAATCACATGTGATGTTTATGCAGTTCAACTACCTGAGCAGTTTAAGATAGATAAATACAGATTTCGGAAGCTTTTTGTAGGTCTTATAAGATAGTCCATGAGAATCGCATGCAAAACCACATTAAAACCTATATCTTGGATGATTGGCCAGAAATGACTTCTAGCTTCTAAAACTTAAATTATGGCTGATTCTAAATTGTTAAGGACTAATTTGTCTCTTTATGAAAACAAGAGGCATAAAGAAATAATATCAGACGAAACATGTTACTAAGAATTTCACTAAAACAGAGGGCTGAAATTCGGATGAGGCGACAAAGGTGCTCAGTTCTTTCCACCTATACTTTGGAGGTTTTATGAGACTTTCACAGGCTGAATGATTAAGACTACTGAATACTAGTAGTATCACCCAAGTTCGAACCCATGCGAACGCTGGTTGCATGATAGGTTTTCACAGTATTTACATCTGAAACATGAATTTGATCCAGTTTTCTTTAGAAAGTCCTCATTTCCCCTCAGCAGATAAGACTAGTATGCTTTCCCGTATTCAAATAAGCTATCCTGTTCCTCAGGAGGTCTGTCATTCTCTTTTACATTATATAGATGGATCAGTGAATGCTCATGAATATTTCTGAATACACACAAGTATTTTTCTGTAAGTACATGACCGGACAGACATGTTTATAAGATTACATTTCTGTGGTAGGTAAATAAATATTAATTGTTGCAAATTTCTATAAATATTTAAATTCATTTTATTCTTATATAGATATATTTCTTACATGCACTTGTAGATATTTCAATTCTGAGTTCAAAAATATTTAAACTGTAAAAATAGCTTAAATAATACGTTAAGTATGAACAAGTACGCTTCTAACGCGTCTTGCTGCTGACTTGCTTTTGAAGCCCTAAGACCAATTTTGTTACAGAACTCGTGCTGCACCATATACACTGGTTATCAAAATTAAAGGATAATGAGGAAAAAATATGCTTACTAAGTTAATGTTGCAACCAATGCCCGATGCTATAATTATTTACGTTAATTAACAGTGGCGTAGCTAGGGTGGGGCAAGGGGGACATCCGTCCCCGGGCGCAGCATCCAGGGGGCGGCAAATTGATGATATACATTTCAGAATGAAATGTTTTCCATTCTTGGAATACAGAAAGGGGCGCAAAATCTTTAGGTGTCCCCGGGCGCTGAAAACCTTAGCTACGCCTCTATTAATTATATACAATTGAACACAAAATTGCATTTCCGCGCATACGTTAACGCCAGAAATATGCAAATTCGGTGACTGACAATGTGGTGCGCAATGGATGCATGTTGGAATTCCGGTCTGTTGTACTGTTTAAATGGAATATGGTTTCTGAGAGTGATCAGTATTCTATAGTTATGGCTCAAAGCATCATTTAAGTGAAGGTCAAAAGTGGCGAAAAATTGGTATAATCGAGAGAAGTCAAATACAAATGGAAGTCGCAAAAGATTTGAATCTGGAGCTGCTTTTTTAAGCAATGAATCGGTTGACAGACAGCCTTGGTCAACGGCGACCAAGAGCAACAAGTGCATCAGAAGAGCGTTTTATATCCTTGTTCACGCGAAGAAACTGCAAGGGATTTGGTTTTAGAGCTTCATGCTGCGATAGGAACTCGAATTAGCCGTTCTGCTGCTGCTGCACGAAGGCTTAACGAGGTTGGACTGTATGCAAGAAAACCAATGGTTTGTGTCCCATTCACTCCATCTTCCAGAGGGGCCCGTTTAAACTGGTACCGTCGTCATGTTCAGTGGAGCCAAAACGACTGATCCCGAGTATTGTTTACTGAGAAGTCCACACGTAGTATAAACAGTGATTCTAGACGTGTGTTGATCTGGAAAGAGAAAGGAACACACAACTTCCCTTCTCTTGTCCGTGAAATATATACCGTTTCCGCGGTTTAATGCTTTGAGGAACGACCAATGGCCGCATCGGAATCTTTCAAGCATATCTTTCAAGGAGGTTCTGTAACCGTTCGTAGATATGTTGACGAGCTACTGGAACCCCAAGTTAGACTGTTTAGGAGTGCTATTGGCCCAGAAGTTTTGCTAATGGATGAAAATTTGTGGCCTGGTCGAGTATATGTGGTGTGTAAGAATACTTGTAAACAGAAGATATCACTCAAATGTATTGACCACTTTACTCACCCGACTTGAGCATGTGTGGGATGCCTTAGCACGCCGAATTCGTCCACGGACCTTCCAAGAGCTGACAAATCCACTTTTAGATCATTGGCGTACAATTCTACAAGACTTCATCAACACTTTGGTAAAGTCTATGAAATCAAGATGTCAGATGTGCAAACTTGCCCTAGGTGACCATACACCATATTAATGAAAAAATTTTTCTGCAAGAGGGGCTTAATTTTCCCATCAATTTGCTTTTAATTTAAATATTTTGCGAATAATCAACTGCCAAATATTGTAATTTATGTTAACTAATGCTTTTGTACAAATTTCTATTAATAATTTTTAAGTATCAGCTACTTTTATTTCTGTCATTATCCTTAAATTTTGATGACAGTGTAAATACGGCTCTGAAAGACGAGACGAATTAGTTGTTAATCAGCTGTAAGACTTTGAGGTTTAAAATAATGTTAGCGTTTTATAGTTGATTCATGAGTGATTTGGGAATATGTAATATTTCTTATGCACTAAGGGGGATAGCTTAATGTCCACATTCTCTTTCAGCTATTTAATTTCTTGCTGCTCATCTGAAGTTACTGTTTAAAGAGACAACCATATGTATTCATATGTATATGACAAATGAGATTCTCGTATGTATTATGGCATATGAGACAGATGAGTATTGCCATATGTATATGACAAAATCAGTTTCTTACAGTTGTTTATAGACCAGAAGACTGGCCTGACAAGTAGTTAAAGCCACAAACACTTGTAATTTTTCCTGAGGTTTATTCTGGTAGCTGGAAGAAAACTGCTTGCATGCATTTCTGTAGATTTTATCTTGTGTAATGATGTATCAGCTAGTT